TATTTTGTACTCTGCTGGTCATCAATAAGATTATTCTCCTGAGTATCATAAAAATATTATCAAAACCTTTTTAAAGGTAATGTATCCTTTCCACATATTACTTTTTTTCATGTGAGCATTGTCAAACCTAAATGTCCTGGATATTGGAGATTATCTGGACACTGCAGAAGCATTTTTCAAAATGAATCTTCAGACTGATCTCAAATAATATTTTATTTCACATAATTGATTTCTATTTTTATGGCATACTGCTGGAAACTATTTTAATATATTATTACAGTGGTTAAGCAATTGTTTTGTATGGTGTTAGTCTTTGGCATTGGTCCTTCCCTTATACACAGTTCCTGGTGACTCAGGCCATAAAGAATCTGCCTGCAATGCAAGAGATCCAGGTTTGATCTCTGGGTTGCGAAGATCTCAAGAGAATGAGTGGCTACCCACTCTAGTGTTCTTGCCTGGAGAATTCCATGGACAGAGGAACCTGGCAGGCTATAGTCCATAGGGTCACAAAGAGTCAGAGACAACTGAGAGACCAACAGATTTTACACACAATCAGTCATTGGACATTGACAAGAATGTCCATCTTACTTTTAAAGTAAATTATTTCTCAGTTTAATCACTAGTTTATCTGGCATGTTAAGTGGTGTTGAAACAAGCAAACTGTCAGTAATTTCTCTAGCAAAGATGTTTATTTGAGATCAGCGGAGAATTGCAATTTGTGGTATGTAATCATGGCGAGCCACATGCAACACTGTATGCCAAGGGAAGGAGAACAGTTTTATAGAAGGAAGAGGAATTTGTGAATGCTCTAGTGAACAGTCTATGGCTTTTTAATGGCTCAATCTTTGCTAGGTAAGAAAAGTAATCTTCTTGTAGCCCTTCCAAAGCCTGAAAATCCCAGCATCATCTCAGAAAAAAAGCCCTGTTCATGAACAACTGGGTTGAAAGCTAGCCACCTTAGGAGAAGCTGCCCCAGTTCTGCAGGGAACAGACTGAAGGCTAGTCAGCTTCCATGGAACAGTCTGATCTCAAATCACACCAAAATGTCAAATGAGTACTAGCCTAAAGAACAACACCTTAACCAGAATGTCAGAAACTTTAAACAGATCTCAAATAAAGCCAGGAAGGCTTCAAAGGCAAAGAAGTGGAAGCTCAGTTCCAGGAGAAAAACATCCTGCAATACCCAGGGTTGGTGAGAAAAACACTATGCAACAATGGGCTCAAATGAGGTACCACACTTGTTTGTTCACCTGCCCTAGAGCTGTTGGGAGTCTTCTCTGGTCCCTGTGGGAACCACTGAAATGTTGACCTGAAGCAATTAGACTGCCAGATATTTCGCCAGCAAACATGGAAGAGAAGCACAGAGTTGCAATCCAAGGCCAGACACAGGCAAGTTCCTGAACGACATGGGAAGGAAAACTCTTAAAGATGAGGAAAGAAAGACTGACCATATCAGCTACAAATTGCCATCTACCTCTACAAGGATTAAATCATATGCTAGTACAGCTGCTGATTTTCAACAACCTCTGAAAGGAGTTAGGGTGGAGTGCAGAAATGAGGCATTCTGTGCTCTGGGAAAAACTGGCAGGACAGGTCTTCTGAAAGATATTTTCAGGAGCCAATTTGATGAGTCCAATTCTTGTATCTCCTAATATCTAGAAAAGCACTAAAATCCTTCATGATGACAAATGTTCCTTGTGACTAGCAGAAACCTTCTGCAAAAAATCTGTGCTTGATTGCATGTACTCCCCTTCAACAGAATCACATACATATACTGACCATCTTTGGAGCAGCTACCTGAGGTGCTGTTTCCCAGACTATAGTCTTCATTTTGTTACAAATAATATTTGACTAATGACTCGCACATTGTGTATTTTTTTAAGAGTTTATTTGAGATCAGCGGAGAATTGCAATTTGTGGTATGTAATCATGGCGAGCCACATGCAACACTGTATGCCAAGGGAAGGAGAACAGTTTTATAGAAGGAAGAGGAATTTGTGAATGCTCTAGTGAACAGTCTATGACTTTTTAATGGCTCAATCTTTGCCAGGTAAGAAAAGTAATCTTCTTGTAGCCCTTCCAAAGCCTGAAAATCCCAGCATCATCTCAGAAAAAAAGCCCTGTTCATGAACAACTGGGTTGAAAGCTAGCCACCTTAGGAGAAGCTGCCCCAGTTCTGCAGGGAACAGACTGAAGGCTAGTCAGCTTCCATGGAACAGTCTGATCTCAAATCACACCAAAATGTCAAATGAGTACTAGCCTAAAGAACAACACCTTAACCAGAATGTCAGAAACTTTAAACAGATCTCAAATAAAGCCAGGAAGGCTTCAAAGGCAAAGAAGTGGAAGCTCAGTTCCAGGAGAAAAACATCCTGCAATACCCAGGGTTGGTGAGAAAAACACTATGCAACAATGGGCTCAAATGAGGTACCACACTTGTTTGTTCACCTGCCCTAGAGCTGTTGGGAGTCTTCTCTGGTCCCTGTGGGAACCACTGAAATGTTGACCTGAAGCAAATAGACTGCCAGATATTTCGCCAGCAAACATGGAAGAGAAGCACAGAGTTGCAATCCAAGGCCAGACACAGGCAAGTTCCTGAATGACATGGGAAGGAAAACTCTTAAAGATGAGGAAAGAAAGATTGACCATATCAGCTACAAATTGCCGTCTACCTCTACAAGGATTAAATCATATGCTGGTACAGCTGCTGATTTTCAACAACCTCTGAAAGGAGTTAGGGTAGAGTGCAGAAATGAGGCATTCTGTGCTCTGGGAAAAACTGGCAGGACAGGTCTTCCGAAAGATATTTTCAGGAGCCAATTTGATGAGTCCAATTCTTGTATCTCCTAATATCTAGAAAAGCACTAAAATCCTTCATGATGATGAATGTTCCTTGTGACTAGCAGAAACCTTCTGCAAAATATCTGTGCTTGATTGCATGTACTCCCCCTTCAACAGAATCACATACATATACTGACCATCTTTGGAGCAGCTACCTGAGGTGCTGTTTCCCAGACTATAGTCTTCATTTTGTTACAAATAACATTTGACTAATGACTCACATGTTGTGTATTTTTTTAAGTTTTGATAGGCGCTGTAGTGAAAAGAGTACTTGGCTTTTCATTGGCTGAGTCCTTGACAGGAAAGAAGAGGACTCTTTGTCCTTCTCATAGGGTTCTGCTCTGTTGTACGTATGAAAGCCCCCCACTTTGGCTTTCAACTCTATTTAATTCAGGTTTCTGTTTACTAATTTTTTAATAATCATTGTTGACTTTTCACTTAAATCAACTATACTGTACTTGTTCTATCAAGAGGAAGTAATAACAAGAAGAAATCAACAATAAGCAATTTTCATCATATGCATAAACTTGGGAAATTGTATATTGAGTGTCTTAGGCATAGGGGAGTGCTCTGAGGACTTGCTTGCTCATGGATCCTAATATAATCAACAAAGTGGGAGATAGAGATATACAAATCTTTTTGAGCAATCATTTCCTTAAATGAACCTTCATAATTTTTCCTGTATTAATTATTTAAGGAATATTTAATAAAAGAATAGAAGTTAGGCACTTGTCAAAATAGAGTATGATCCAAAATTTACTTACTATGGCTCTGTATCTTCATTTATTCCATTAATTTTATTTAATCTCTGTCTAACATGTTTGATCTTGTAGTAGGCTTAGGTACGAATAAACTTGTTCTTTGTGGGAATTTACAGTTTAATGTTGGAATCAGATCATTGGACAGGTAATTAAAATCTAGAGATTTTATTTTATTGTTTAATGTATGCAAACAGTAAACAGGAAGATTGTAAAGTGAGGTGCCTGAGAGTGGACTTTGGTCATCAAGGAAAGTATTCCTATGGTTGCATGGAAAATATATTTAAAGGACACAAGATTGGAGTTAGCAAAACTGCTTTATCAGTTTTTTTTTTATGGGGCTTTAAGTATGACAATGTAATTTTTAAAAGGTTTATTTAAAAAGTATAAGTAAAATATGCAGAACATAGAAACTGATTAGTATGAGAGGGGTGAAGCAAAGAAGGTGTGTCTCATCATTTTGAACCTGAATGATATGTGTGGGATGGTAGAAACACATAAAAATAAAGCAGCTCTTAGCAGGCTAGGAATAGAGGATAATTTCCTTACCTTGAAAAGTAACATCTACCAAAAACCTAGAGCTAAGGTCATATTTATGGTGAGAGAGCTGAAGCTTTCTTGATAAAATTAGGAACAAGGCTAGGAAGTCCCCATTACAAAAACCTTTTAACATCCAGCTGTAAGTCTTAGCTAATGTAATAGAAGAGAAGCAGAAAGAAAAGTGTTATGGGTTGAATTATGTTTTTCAAAACTCATATGTTTAAGCCCTAACCCCATTATTATATTGTATGACTATAGAGTGGACCCTTGAACACACTGGTTTGAAATATGCATGTCGTCTTATACACAAATTGTTTTCAATAAATGTATTAGAAGTTTTTGAATATTTGCAGCAATTTGCAAAAAACTTGCAGATGAACCATGTGGCCTAGAAATATTTTTAAAAAATTAAGAAAAAAGTTAGATGTGTCATGAATGCATAAACTGTATGTAAGTGCTACTCTAGTTTGTCATTTATTATCATAAAATATACACAAATTTATTATAAAAAGTTAAAATTTACCAAAATAAATGCACACAAATACTTACAGACCATACTTGGAACCATTTCCAACTGAGAGAAATGTAAAAACATAAGAATGCAGCATTAAGCCATAATTATAGGAAATTGACTGTAGTAATCCTGTGCTACCGTCATAATTTTGTAGCGGCCTCCCTGCTGCTGTTGTAGTGAGCTCAAGTCCTATGAGTGCATACATAAGGCTGCACATGACACTCCATGTGAGCTGCTAGTCTCTCCAATACACTGGGTACCACAGTAAAAAGTGATCTCTCCCACTTGTGTATTTTTCATCCTGGTTAGCTCAATACCTTAAGTAAACACTATAGGACTCCTACGAAATGCCACTCACTAGTGATGCTGGAAGTTCTCCTAAGAAGCAGAGAATAGTCATGACCTTGGAAGGAAAAGTTGAACTGCTTGGTACATTGAACAAATTGAGGTCTGTAGCTATGGTTGCCCATCATTTTAAGATGAATGAATCCTGTGCAAGGAGTATTAATTAAAAAAAAATAAATTTGAGAAAATATAGCTTGCTGTAGCTATTCCAGTAGGCATGAAAACTTTGAACTTTTGTGAAATACTTTTATCTTGTATTAAACATGCAGCTTTTATTGTGTGCAGGATTGCTATAAGAAAGACATATCTATAGATTCTAATACATTATTACATGACAATGTAAAGCAAAAGGAAGGTGAAGGATCTAAAACTGGAAAATCTGATGACAGAAAAGGATGGTTTCATAATTTTAGAAAGAGTTTTGGTTTAAAAAGTGTCAGGATAACACAGGAAGCATCTTCTGCTGATCAAGAAGTGACAGATAAGTTCCCAAATGCCATTTAGAAAATCATTGAGGAGAGAGGATATCTGTCTGAACCAGGTTTTAATGCAGATAAAAGTGCCATTTTCTAGGGAAAAAACTGTCACAAAGGATATTTATTAGTGAGGAAGGGGAGTAAGCACCAGGATTTAAGCCAGGAATGGATAGGCTCACCCTATTGTTTTGTGCAAATGTGTTCAGGTTTATGTTCAAAACTGTCCTTACCTATAAAACTACTAACCTCCAAGATCTAAAGTGAAGCAAATGGCAGCTTCCAATCTTTTTGTTGTATAGCAAGAAAGACTACATAAGTACTATTTTCTTTTCTGGATTGGTCCCACTAAGGCTTTATTCCTAAATTAGGAAGTACCTTGCTGGAGGGGTATGTCTTAAATTTATTTATTTTATTTTTGATATTAAATAGTGTCCCTGGCTACCAAGATCCCCATGAGTTAAAAACCAAAGGCGTCTACTTTTCTCCTGAACACAACATCTCTAATTCAGCCTCTACATCAGGGGGCATATGGATCTGTGAGGCTCATTACACATGATACTCTGGAAAATACTGTCAACGATATGGAAGAGAACCCTGATAGAGAGAGAACATAATGAAAGTCTGAAAGGATTATACCATTGAAGATGCCATCATTGTTATAGAAAATGCTNCAATTCCAGCTAAACGTTGATCAATTTTCTTTATCCTCTCAAATAAACAGCATTTTGTTTCATTGGTCTTTTCTATTGTTTGTTAATTGCTATTTTACTTATTTCTGCTCTGATCTTTATTATTTCTTTCCTGCTACTCATATGTAGTAGTTGGTTTTTCTTTTCATTTAATCTTTCTTACCCCTAACTTCCTTTTGGAATAAGATTAGAGTGTTTATTTGAGATTTTCTTCTTTCCTGAGGTGGGATAGTACCAGTATAAACTTCCTTCTTGTGATCTCTTTTGTTGCTTCCCATAATTTGGATCATTGCTTTTCATTTTCATTAGTCTTCATTTAATTATGACTTCCTTTTTGATTTTGGCACTGACCCATTGGTTATTTAATAGTGTACTGTTTCATCTTCACATGCTTATGATTATACAGCTTTTTCTTATAATTGATTTCTAGTCATATACTATTGTAGTCAGTAAAAATGCTTGATATGATTTCAATCTTTTAAAATTTACTGAGACTTTTTTTGTAGCCTAGCATATGATCTATCCTGAAGAATGTTCTGTGTACACTTGAAAAAATGTGTTCTGCTGTTTGGGGATGCATACATACATACATCCCATATATATATTCTATATATATACTTTTGCATGTATAGAAATAGAGGAAAACAACAGGATGGGAAAGAATAGAGATCTCAGAAAATTGGAGATATCAAGGGAACATTTCATGTAAGATGAGCACAATAAAGGATGCATAAGTATATTTTCTAGCTAAAGGGAAGTATTATTAGAAGAAACAATCTCAAGGAACATTTTGAAATGCACAGAACATAACTGTGAAGTCTTAAAAATATTTTATGTAAGATTTCTTCTTTCCCAACATATTCACTGAGGAATCTTTATATAGTCTAGAGTCATCCAACTATAGCCTCTAGGCCAAATGTTTGCATTTGTTCCTTTACCTGTTGTCTATGGCTGGTTTCACACTGGTTTCACAGGCAGAACTGAGGATACAGGAATACAAGACATATGTTTCTCTTTCAATTGGATTGTTTCTCTTTTCTGGTTCTATCACTTAGTGTTCAAACCCCACCATGGTTCTCAGTCTTGAAGAGATTTCCAGGCTTCTGAGATCCTTTAACACCTCCTCTTCTAGTGCCTTGAAATCTTAGGTGGAGCTATAATCTCCTGATCTTGCTAATACCTATGTTACTTCAAAATCATCCCCACTTTTCCCCCTAGCTCTTCCATGGACTGTTTAGATTATTCTTTGTATTAATACAAGCATGATGCATTTATAATAGAGATAAGAAATTAATTTATAAAATGGTTGCAACCCATTCAAATGAAAAATTATGAATACCTCTCTGGGTAAATCATGAATTAAAAGAAGAATCAAATATTTCTTAACCAAATGTGTTTTTTAAAATTATTAAGTTTTGTAACTATAACTCTAGCCCTTATGTCCTCTAGAGAGAGTATCTAACTCTCTAATGGTCTTGTGAGCTTACTAATTAGTAATTTTTTCTCTCATTTTTCTTTTTTCATTATGATATCAATAGAAAATACATCATAGGTGAGAAAGGCCTTAATCCCCAAAGAATACCCTGCATAGGGAATGCTCACCATCAAGGTTTCCCTTCCCATGAAAGAATTTCTCTCAGGACCCATTTCTAGTATATTTGTTGGTTTAATCAATGAAAAGTATAGTAAATGAGAGAGAGAGAGAGAAACCACAATTTGTGCTAGCAACTGTTCACCTTAGCAATTTGAGACATGATCTTAACAGTGATGGAATGCAACCTATGTTGCAGAAAAACTTCCTGTTAAACAAAGGTTTGTTTCTTTTCAAACATTTGTTTCCTCATGAATGTACAATACAATACTTATCATAGAGGATATACTAAGATGAGAAGTAGTATCCATTGTTGTGAGTATATTTTTATAGGTAAGTTGTTCTCAACACTTTTCCCTTTTAGATAACTTTTTTTCTGTTGAAATCAGAAACTTTATATATGAATTTTAAGGAAAGTAAGCATTTTGTAGTTGACAGTCTTGACAGAGGTTTTTCTTTTTTTTTTTTTAACGATTCCTCTGACTTCTAAAATCTATCAGTCAACACTTCTAATAACCTTTAAAATTTTCAAAAAAGTAGATACTGAAACTATATTGAATTGATTTTAATACACTTTCACAATTCTAACTAGTCTGAGAATAATGTCACAGGAATAAAATCATAGTACTGGCAACAAAAAATATAAAAAATTTTAGGAGACGTTTCCTAATTTAGATCATATGTGATTTTATTTATGTACTGTAATTATATAGTTTATATATATATAAAATTATAAATTTTATTATAAAAGATATTTCTATAGCACATGAGCTTTTTATGTATCATTTTTATAGTATGTGAGTTTTTAAATTTATCGTCAGTTTTCTTTAGTATTTTATGATTATTGCTCAACCTCGTGACTCTAAATAAATCTCTTGAATATGGTTTTGTCTCAATATCCCCATTCATAAAATTAGAAGAAAAACTCTTTCTTTACCTCTCAGTGTATTTTATGTGAGGACATTTTATAGTCAAAATAGCATAAATCTAAATAAATATAGTACAAGCTTGTTTAAGTACATAGTTTTTCTTTTGTGACTATCTCTAAATTATTCTATGTGCCTTCCATGCTGCATATGAACAGATCTTTGTATTTGTAATTAATTTTTTTCTGCTTCTGAAAAGACAGAAAAATGTGTCAAAGATCTTTGAATTCTCCACTTGCATTCTAATCTGCAAAATCTAAAGTAAGCAAAAGAGAGAAGAAACAAAGGAAGAAAATTCGGAAGGAAAGAAGGGTGGAAGGAAAACAATAAAGTCTGATTTCATTGTGTTTAGGAAATATAAGCAAGAATCATTCTGTTTTTTAGCAAACTGTGCCATTAAGAGTGTATGTCACCATAGGGACAAAAATAATGGAAGAAACAAGGATGTGATGTAAATGTATAAAATGCATTTGAATCTATTCTAATGAGGTGGATGAAACTGGAGCCTATTATACAGTGTGAAGTAAGTCAGAAAGAAAAACACCAATACAGAATACTAACACATATATATGGAATTTAGAAAGACAGTAATNAAATTGGGACACTGGGATTGCCACATATTCACTTCTATATGTCAGCTAGATAACTAATAGGATTCTACTGTATAGCACTGGGAACTCTACTCAATACTCTGTAATGCCCTACATGTGAAAGGTATTTAAAGATGAGTGGATATATGTATATGTATATCGATTCACTTTGTTGTAAGCAGAAAGTAACACAAAATTTTACATCAACTATAGTCCAATAATATTTTAAAAATATCACTCCTTCTTTACCAACATTACTCCCATTGACTTATTAGATTTCTCTCTGTACTAATCTTAATACAAGCATGAAGTATTCACAGTAAAGAAACATGTTTCCAAAACTAAAGGTTGTAATACATTCTAATGAAAAATCATGAATGTCCCTGTGTGTTAAATCATGAAAATGAAAAGAGAATCAAGTGTTTCTCATCTAAATGTACTTTTTAAAAATTCTGTTCTCTAAGAAGTTTAGATCATACAGCTTCTAGAGAGAGCTTCTAACTTTCTAATGGTCTTGTGAGTTTCTAACTGGCTTGTGACAAGCCAACATCTTGTCTAGTGAAAAGAAAATTTATTACAAAGGCTGTGCCGTCCAATTTTTCTTCTTTGCTCTGTCTGTCACCACTGAGGGCTTTCTTCTGGCTGTCATGGCATTTGATCGATTCTCAGCCATTTGCTCCCCACTCCTGTATCCTGTGCATATGTCCCCAAAACTCTGTGTTCAGTTGGTAACTGGCTCCTACGTCTGTGGCTGCATCAATGCTGTAGTCCAAACAAGTTTCACCTTTAGTTTGCGTTTCTGTGGGGAAAACAGATTGGACCACTTTTTCTGTGATGTCCCAGCCCTGATCAAGATCTCCTGTGTGGACACCTTTGTGAACGAGGTTGTATTGTGTAGTCTTTCTGCTCTCATCATCATCACCACCACAACTGTCATTCTGGTTTCCTATGCATATATCCTCTCTTCTGTCCTAAAGATCCCTTCAACCCACGGCAGGAGTAGGACTTTCTCCACCTGTGGCTCTCATATAGCAGTGGTGAGCTTATTCTACGGGACTGTGTTCTTCATGTATGCCCAACCTGGAGCCATCTCCTCTCCAGAAGAGAACAAGGCTGTAGCTGTGCTCTACACCCTTATAATCCCAATGCTAAATCCTCTAATATACAGTCTGAGAAACAGGGATGTGCAAGATGCTGTGAAAAGAATATTACACAGTAAATGATTCTCTGCTCATATTTGTAATGTTATTATAATACTTAATGGGCAAACCGTGTTTTCTAAGGGTCTTAATTATCTTTGTTTTTATAAAATTACTATACCAAAGATAGTTATATATACGACACAAATATTTTTCTAAGTTTTATAATATGATATGTCTAACAGATACAGGTATATAGATCATTATTTTATTTCCTTAAAACGTATGAAAACATTGTATGTTTTCAACTTGTGATGTGACAATATTTTCATTTCAATGTTATTTTGATTAGGAATTAAATATTAAGAGCATCTCTTACTCATTAAAATAACATTATATCAGTGTGAATAATATATATGTGTGAATAATATTATATCATAGTTTCTGCAGATATAATAACTATTCTTTAATTCAAATCAAATGAACTGATATTTCTTTGGACAAGACAACAGCCCCACTGTGTATTAGTAATGGAATAATAATGGTTGGTTACATAGAATACTTTTGACATGAGGTCTATCCTTCTCCAAATTTCCAGGTTTGCATTCTGAGGAGTATCATATCCATAGAGTTACTATTCTTATAAAACAGATGTCCATAATATAATATTTGATGACAATTCTTCAGATGGAAAATATGTCAACATTCTACTAATTTTTTGCCCCAGTTTCTTCTTAATATAAAATGATATATCTTATAATAATAAAAGCTGATACATAACAGGTACTATATGGCATAATCATTTTTATTCACTATTTTCAAATGAGAAAATTGATATTAAGCAACTTGGTGTACCTAAAACTGTATACCCATATGGCTCCAAATTTTTAATTATGCAAATATATCTTTCAAAGCATGCGGCTTTTTAAAAAAATGTAATCTCACAACCTAAAAACAACCATTTCTGAATGGAGGTATTGATGTGGAGCCAGTCTGGGAACTAGAATAAATTTGATGGTTCTCCTTTTATTATGTGTGTAAATACTATTCCGGGTTTCTATTTCCACATTTTAATCAATTTTTTGGTGTAGAGAAGCATGTTCTTTTTATTAGTCTTTTCTCTTTTAAATTGTATATATTTATACACTGAAAATTAAGTATTTTCTAATGTCAGTTTTTAAATTTATTATCAATATTTTATTTTAATTTTGGCCATGGTGTGAGGCTTGTGGGGTCGTCACTCCCAGTCTGCGGTCAAACCCTTGCATTTGAGGCACAGAATCTAAACTGTGACTGCCAGGGAAGTCCCTTATATATTATTTTAAAATATTGGTTAATATAAAATACTTTTTCTATATGATGTAAACTGAGGTTTTTACTCAGTTTTTTCTATCAACTAATCATTTTTTCTAACACTTAAAAAATATAGAGAGGAAAGGAAAGTTTTTGCCCTACTTTTTCTTATTTCTTTTCTTTAGAGATATGTGAACACTAAATTAGAATTTAGGAATCTATCAAGTCAAAAGTATTAATGGGTGTGCATCACTTGTTTTAAAACTATATGTGTGGTTTGTCACTGTTCTGATACTTACCCACATTTGGTCAGACCGGAAGGTTAATTCTTTAATTTCACTTCCTCTCACACATGAGTTATATTCAATTTCATAGTGGCAAGGTTGTTTTCCCCCCCTTACCTAGTATCCATAATGGAACTTAGGCAGAAAGGGAATGTCTTCCAAGATCTCAAGGCTTCCCCAAATACTTGAGTTCAACCTGATAATCAGTTCCCACCAATTAAATAATTTGTTTCTAACTTACTACTGTACTTCCAGCAAATAGCAAATAAGTTTTACAGATAAATCATGATAGGATGCACAACCAAGCAGGATCAAGAAATTACTGGTATTCTGGTAAAATACTAGCCTATAGGGCCCAAAATATATATAAAATTCCTAATAAATCCTAATTTCTTTTATTTTATGGAACTTATTGTATGACCATGTATTAATTGTACATTTTATACATACTAGATATATTTCAAACTTTTTGTTTCTTTCATTGATTTGCTGTCTCTTTGTGCTGGAATCACATGCTTATTGAAAAATAAGATTTAATGCCTGAAACAGCTGCATCTTTTTCAAAAATTTCTCAGCTAGTATTACTATTTTAGTGAACTTCAGAATTGTTTTGCATTAAAAAGAATTCTTATTTGCACGTTAGCAGAGTTGCATTTAGGAAATCACTGATTTGTTTACAACCCTCATTTGTAAGAAAACAGTAAGAATACCGCTTTGATATCAGACAACCTAGCTATGAGGCCCTGCACTGCTACTAAGCATAGCTTTTGAGAGGTTCTTGAGTGGTTTTAAGGTTGAATGAACTCTATCAGTTTACCTATTTCATTCAACAGATGTAAGCAAAGTGAAAGAGTTAGTCACTCAGTCCTGTCTGACTCTTTGTCACCCCATGGACTGTAGCCAGCCAGGTTCCTCTGTCCAATGAATTCTCCAGGCAAAAACATGGAGTGGGTAGCCATTCCCTTCTCTAGGAGATTTTCCAACTTAGGGATCAAACCCATGTTTCTTAGGTCTCCTGCCTTGCAAGCAGATTCTTTACCATTTGAACCACCAGGGAAACTCATAATATACTATAATCAAGCTTTTGGCATAAGAAAGTTTTCAACTAATAGTAGCTTTAATTATTATTATTACCACTATTATCATCTATTTTAAATTTGCCTTTTATTGTGGCAACATTGGTTTGTAACACATTATTATATAGGTTTCATAAATACACATTACATTTCCACTTCTATATACCACAGCATGTGTGTGTGTGTGTATGCACGCGCATGTGCGTGTGTGCTCAGTCATGTCCAGCTCTTTGTGACCCTTGGATTGTAGCCTGCCAAGCTCCTCTGTCCATGGAATGTTTCAGGCAAGAAGACTGGAGTGAATTGCCATTTCCTCTTCCAGGGGATCTTCCCGACTCAGGGATCCAAGCCCCATCTCCTGGCTCTCCTGCACTGGCAGGCGGATTCTTTAACACTGTGCCACCTGGGAAGCCACCCTACAGCATGTTAAAACCAAAAATTTAGTTTTCATCCATAATCATACAGTTGACCCACTTTACTCATTTCATCTTCCCTGTCAACCTGTTCCCCTCAGATAACCACCAATCAGTTCTCTGTATCTATGCTTGTTTTGTTGATTTGTGGCATCATCTTGTCTATAAGTTTTAGTAGTGTGAAATTTCTATATTTGAGAGCCACAGGTTTTTCAGTAAACATATTATTATATATTTCATACATTAGTTGCTATTATGACAAGAGTCTTCATCACCTTATGTGCCTAATGGATAATTTAAGGATTCAAGAACTTTTAAAATTATTAACTTCCCTGATAGCTCAGTTGGTAAAGAATCCACCGGCAATGTAGCAGATTTGATTTCTGGGTCGGGAAGATCGGCTGGAGAAGGGATAGGCTACCCACGCCAGTATTCTTGGGCTTCCTTTATAGCTCAGCTGGTAAAGAACCTGCCCACAGTGAGGGAGACCTGGGTTTGATCCTCGGGTTGGGAAGATCCCTTGGACAAGGGAAAGGCTACCCACTCCAGTATTTTGGCTTGGAGAATTCCATGGACTGTATAGTCAATGGGGTTGCAAAGAGTCAGACACAACTGAGCAACTTTCACTTTAAAATTATTATCTATTTATTTTATATGAGCTTGCTAAACTGTCAGTTGTGAAGATATTTGTTAACTAACAAATATTAATTTTATTCATATGTCATTAACATTTGCTTTCTTGATACATCATAAACTGTTAAAATATTGAATGAGCTTTTCTTTGGTAATTTTATCCATTGCAATAATTTTTGCTTTATTGTGTTATATATGCCATTAAGTTACATATTTTATTAATATTGATGCATTTCTTGCATATATAGATGCATATTTATAATCTCATTAGACTGAAATCTGCTTTATTTAATACTTATATGGCACTTGATTTATTTAAAAGTTTTATCTGGTATGGGAAGAACTAAAGAGCCTCTTGATGAGGGTGAAGGAGGAGAGTCAAAGAGCTGACTTAAAACTAAATATTAAAAAACTAAGATCATGGTATCTGGCCCCATTACCTCATGACAAATAGAGGGAGAAAAGGTGGAAGTACTGACAGATTTCCTCTTCTTGGGCTTTAAAACCACTACGGATGGTGACTGCAGCCATTAAATCAGAAGATGTTTGCTTCTTGGCAGGAAAGCTATGACAAAGCTAGACAGTGTGTTGAAAAGCACAGACATTACTCTGCCGACAAAGGTCTGTATAGTCAAGGCTATGGTTTTCCCAGTGGTCACGTATGGTTGTAAGAGTGGGACCATAAAGAAGGCAGAGCACTGAAGAATTGATGCCTTGGAACTGTGGTGCTGGAGAAGATTCCAGAGAGTCCCTTGGACAGCAAGGAGACCAAATCAGTCAATCTTAAGGGAAATCAGCTCTGAAAACTAATTGGGAGGACTGATGCTGAAGCTGAAACTCCAGTATTTTGGTCCTCTGATACAAACAGCTTACTCACTAGAAAAGTCCCTGAGTCTGGGAAAGATTGAGGGCAGAAGGAGAAGAGGGTGTCAGGATGAGATGGCTGGATGGCATCACTGATGCAATGGACATGAACTTAGGCAAGCTTTGGTAGATGGGGAGGGACAAGGTGGCCTGGTGTGCTGCAGTCCATGGGGTTGCAAAGAGTCAGACATGACTCGGCCACTGAACAATAAAAAAATCTGATATGTATTATTAAAATGTTAATTTAAGAAATTTTATAAAACTTTTTACAGCTGTGACTTCTAAAAACTCATGAATGGAGAGTCAAATATTTGCAAATCAGGAAGGATAATTACCATACATTAAAATATGAATGTAAGAGGAAATAGTTTGCTAAAAATATACTAGCGTTTGATGAAACTACTTGTTATGATTGAATATACTCAATCATAGCATATTTCTCAACTTCAGAAGATAACAACAAATCATATCCAAATAGGTTTAGCCAATGTATATTCCCACATCAGCATATGAAATGACAC